GAGGAGAGGGGTGTCAGGGAAATGATAACCTGAGGGCGAGTCGCAGAAAATGTCAGGGACCCACAGCTTAAAACGCAGGGGGCTGCAGTCACGGGAGGGCTCCCGCCACTTCGAGCTCTAAGGTGATCGACTTTTTGACGTCTCATTCAGGGGCCAAGGAGAGACCTGTTTCCTTTGGACCCCGTTTCTCAGGTGCTCCAAGGGTGCTCCAAGGAGGGGTGTCGGGCTCTCTCCCCCAGAACCTGAGGGCCCCAACCCAGGCCGCTCCTCCTGGGAACGGCTGAGCCGGGGAGGCACTGGCACCGGCCCCACCCTCCCCTCCCCCACCCAGACTGGCTTAAGAGAGACAGCTGTGTGGGGAGCATCGGAATACCCCCAAATCAAGCCCTTGCTTGGCCTGGTTGAGTCTCTTCCCCAGGCCCCACACCCTTGGGTCTGTGGAGATGCTTGAGCTCGCCACAGGGAGCAGCGCGTCTGTGCCTCTGTCCACCTCTGCCATTTGAGCCACTGCTGCCCTCGGGGCCTGCACTCAGGGAGTGACACCGAGGCCGAGACACAGGAGCACAGACAGACGTCAGTCACCGGGGTTCTCCAAGGACGAGGATCAGCCGGGGAACCCTGAGAGAAACACCTGCAAGGTCCAGGCACTGAGCTCAGGCCCCCACGAAGGCGGGATGGGAGGCCGGGGTGCGGTGACTGACACAGATGCCCAAGGGACAAGCGATCACACCGATGGACAGGGAAGACGGACGCTGCGGTCAGAAAGACAGACCAGACTGGCTCCGGCCGCATTTATTACAGAATAAGGATTACAAATCTGGTATAGAAAAGACCCCTGACAGCCTGTCCTTCAAACCTCGGCATGAAGCGGCCTCAGATGCGCAGGTCCCCGGCCAGGAGGTCTCTGTAGCGGGCGGGAGTGAGGGGCAGGTAGGTGCCCCCAGCCCGGTCCAGGATGTACAGGGGGTCGGGCAGCACCTGCGGGTCAAAGCCCTCCTTCGCCATCTGAACCTTGCGCTGCTTGAAGGTCTCTGTGGTGGCCAGGGACTCCTGGGGAGGGGCAAGCAGAGCTGAAGGAAGGTGTTCTGCCCAGGTGGCTCAGGTGAGCTGCCTGAATTTCGCTAAGGGTTTCGGGGAAGGGTGACGGGGACGAGGAGGAGTCGGGCCGAGAGAGAAGGAACGGTGAGGAGCAGGTGTGTGGGAAGGGGCTCTTCTTGCTCTTCAGAGTGTCTCATGCGGGGGTCCCCCTGTGGGGTCGGGGAGCCATCGACTGCTGTGCAGATGTGGGGCGAGGGCCGCCACAGGAGCGGCTGGTTACCTGCAGCCTCAGGAACCGAGGCCAGGCGTAAGGCGGCAGGTTCTCAGCAACATGGCTGTAGAGCTGCTCAAGGTCCAAGGTGTAGGGGGGACGCAGAACCAGGGCTGCCATCCCGGCCCGGCCTTCCTGCCCTGGGGGGTGTTGGGACAAGGTTGAGCCACGCTGGCCCACCACCCTGAGGCCTTATGTTCCCAACGCAGGGAGGCGGGCTGGGCACCTGGCACGGTCACTCCGTAGACGTTCACCTCCTGGAGGAAATGCAGGGCCTCCAAGGCCTTTGCCACCTCGGTTGTGGCCACGTTCTCCCCCTTCCACCTGCCAGAGGGCAGAGATTCGAAATGGAGTCAGGGCGCCGAGAGCCGGGCGGGGAGAGAAAGGGGTCAGGGGCGAGGTCAGGGCACCAGGAGGTCATGTGGAAGCAGGGTTCAGGCCGAGACGGGAGGGCAGGTGAGCTGGGTCGGGGCCGGAATTCGGGAGCCGGGGTTTAGGGGCCTCGAGTCACAGAGTTCAGACATCCAGGCAGGAATCAGAAACTCGGGGGGCCGATACCGGAACGTGTCCCCAGTGCGGTCATAGAAGTGAAGGAAGTCCTGGGCGTCGCACACCAGCAGGTCGCCAGTGTTGAAGAAGACGTCCCCGGGCCGGAAGACATCGGTGAGCAGCTTTCCGCGGGCCAGCTCCGGCCCCCCCGCGTAGCCCAGGAACGGGTACTGCTGGCTCACAGGGGCCACCAGCAGCCCTGGCTCACCTGGCAGAGTCAGTGGGTCAGGAGTGGCCTGGCCTGGGG